CCTCTCCTACAGGCTAGGAGCACCACTCTGGACAAGAAAGGGGCTGGTTCAGGTCACTGAAGCCCCAAATATCCCCAGCAGGGCACCGTCCTGAGGGTGGAAGGAGAGTAGCTCACAGGATGACTAAACACTAATAAGACTTTCAGGGACTATTGTTTGGGAACTGGAGCAAAAGCTTAAAACTTCTTTTAGCAGCTGGGAAGGCAAAGTGCTCACTGGAAATTTTTTTTTTTAATCAAACTCACTGAGCCCAGGCCACTGGAACTTCCTATACAGAAAAGGCAACAGACAGAATTCAATCTGAAACTGCAGCAGGCCATTGCATAGGGAAATAGAATTGAAGGATAAGGCAGAGATTAAGGAGTTGGCTTTGAAGGAGAGGCTAACATCCCCACAGTGAGTGCCTGACAGTGAAAACTTTAAGGAAGGTGTATGATATCCCGAGTTACACTACCCATCCTGCACCCTAAAGATTCCTCAGAAGACTCTGGAGTAAGACCAGACAACCACAAGGGGGAGGCAAAATAGCTGACAAGTGGAGGTGGTCCACAGAGAGCCTCAGATCAGCCAATTACCTAAGGCCACCAAAGCTTAACCTACATATTTCCTGACATTGGCTGATACACAAGTAACTCCCAGGAAAACCAAAATCAGCATACAAAACAGTGAGCCTCAGACAATATAAGCTGCCCAGAAGAAACTCATCTGATTGACTTTTTTTTTTTTTAAAAAGAGAGAAAAGAAAAATTTTTCTTTCAAAATTTGTTTTTAATTTTTTAATATTTTACTTAATTTTTTAAAATTTGTTTTGCTTCTTTTTTTTCTGCTGAGTTTTGCTTTTTTTCTCCTATAATAAAGATTTTCTTGACATTCTCTGCTTAATTGCTATGATATTATCATTACAACCAATAAGTTTACTGCTTTTTTCTATTGTTTCCCCCATTTCTCTTATTGGACTCCTTCCCTGCCCTTACTTTATCTCTGTCTTTCTTCTTGTTCCATTGACATAACTTTTTCTTTCTTTCTTTTCTTTTTCTCCCCTTTTAATCTGTCTTCCTTTCTGTTTATTTGTTTCTGTTTGTCTCTTTATTGTATTTTTATTTTCTTTTTCAACTATTTTCCTATACCTACACTCTACACTTAATTTTTTGTTCACCTTTCTTTCAAAATCTTTTTTCTGTCCCTTTTATATCCCAGTAGCTTCTCTACTTTTACTATTTATTTTATTATCATTATTTTTTATTTTACTTTACTATTAACAATAATATCGTTTTCTTTATTTCTTTACTATTTTTTTGTTTGTTTTTTTGTTTGTTTTGCTTAAGCATTTGCATTCTCACTTTATCTCCCAATTCTACTTTCCCTTGAGATGTTTTCATTGTGATGGTCAGGATGTTTTGTAAGATACTGATTATTTCATGGCAGTTTGGTTGTATTTTGATTTGCCTGCCACCACCAGTACAACAGCTCCCAGAATGTGGTTGAGGCTGAGCCAGATAGATAGCCAACTTGAGAGGAGAATTTTCCCAAGAATGGGTCAACAAAAATATAGACCCAATCACAACAATAGAGTCTAAAGAATCCACAAAAATTACACCCACAAAAGGGACACACCTAGAACAAATAGCTCAGAAGTATAAGGAAACCACACCTCTGGGCTCCAGTGGAAATACACTACAAAATCCCACCCCACAAGATTGGAAGACAGAAAATATATCTTATATCCAGATACAAATACTAAGAGTCACTAACATGGAGAGACAAAGAAACAACCCCTAAACTAAAGAAAATGAAAAATCACCAAAAAAGCCCTTGATGAGATGGAGTTAAGCAAGTTATCAGAAATAGAGGTCAGCGTAATGGTTATAAAGATGCTCAAGGAAATTAACAAAGATAAAACACTTGATGGAAAGGTCCAAGAACTTAGTGAAAGAATGAAAAGAGAGCTAGATGTGGTAAATAAAACCCAGGCAGAAGTGAAAAGTAATATATCTGATATCAAGAATACACTGGAAGTAATTAAAATCAGACTCAATGAAGCACAGGATAGAGTAAGTTATTTAGAAGATAAGGTAGAAAAAAACAATCAGAGCAACAAAAAGAAAAACACTTTTTAAAAAGGATTAGGACAGTTTAAGGGATCTCTGGGCAACATGAAGCAAAACAACATTCACATCATAGGGCTGTCAGAGGGGGCAGAAAGACAGCAAGTGATAGAGAACTTGATGGAGAAAATAATGACAGAAAACTTTCTTATGCTGGAGAGGAAGAAAGCCACACAAGTTCAGGAAGCACAGAGGGTTCCAAGCAAGGACTCCAGGAGACCCACTCCAAGACAAATCATAATTAAAATGGCATATGTCTAGGACAATGTGAGAATATTACGGAATGCAAGAAAGAGACAAGCAGTGACCTACAAGGAAACTCCGATTAGGCTGACAGCAGATTTCTAAACAGAAACACTTCAGGCCTGAAGGGAGTGGCATGAAGTACTAAAAGTAATGAAAAGCAAGAACCTGCAACCAAGACAGCTTTATCCAGCAAGGCTATCATTTAAAATTGAAGGTGAAATAAAGAGCTTCCCAGACAAAAGAAGGTTAAGGAGTTCAGTACCACCAAACCAGCATTGCAAGAAATGCTAAAAGGACTGTTCTAAGGAAAAGAAGAAATATTGAGAGAAAGGTACACCATCATAAAGGGGAAAAAGGCATTAAATAAATATCTATCAATAGTAATCTTAAATGTAAATGAAATAAATGCTCCAATCAAAAGACACAGAGTAGCTGAATGGATAAGAAAACAAGACCCAAATATATGCTGTCTACAAGAGACCCAATTTAAAGCAAAAGATTCACACAGGTTAAAAGTGAAGGGATGGAAAAAAAATATTCCATGTAAATGGAAATGGAAAAAAATCTGGAGTAGCAATACTTATTTCTGACAAACTAGACTTCAAAATAAAGATCATAACAAGAGACAAAGATGGTCTGTACATAATACTAAAATGATTAATACAATGAGGAAATAAACTTTATAAAACTATGTGTCACCAATAAAGGAGCACCTAAAATTTTCTTGGTGGACTTTAAGGAGGAGATCAACAACAGCACAGTCATAGTGAGATCTTTACTACTCCAATGTCATCACTGTACAAATCATCAAGACAAAAAATCAACAGGAAAACACCTACCTCAAATGACTCACTAGACCTAATGGATTTAATTGACATTTATAGAACATTTCATCCCAAAGCAGCAGAATACACATTCTCCTAAGTACACAGGGAACATTCTCAAAAATAGACCACATGTTAGGACCAAAATCAACTTTTCTCTGATCATAATGCCATGAAACTATAAATCAATCACTCTAAAAAACTCACAATTATACTAAGTAAAAAGAGCCAGTCGGAGGACAAGTACCAAATGATCTTGCTTATATGTGGAATATAAGAAACAAAATAAACTGATGAACAAAGTGGATCCAGTAACATAGAAGCTTGGAACAAACAGGGATCTCAGAGGGAAGGCAGGGAGAGAGGTGTGGATGGGGAGAGATTAATCAGGGAACTTGTATGTTTATGGGCATGGCTCATGGACATGGACATTGGTGTGGGGAGGGCCTGGGGGTGAGATGGATGTGGGATGGAAGGTATCAGTAGGGTTAAAAGGGGCCATCTGTAATGGTCTCAACAATGAAGATAAAATAAAAATTAAATTAAATTTAAAAAAAGAAACAAAAAAAGCTCCCAAAAAACAAAAACAAAATAAACCCCTCACAATTATTCAAACACATGGAAGCTAAATAGCATGTTATTGAACAATGAAAGGGTTACCAGTGAGATCAGGGAAGAAATCAAAAGCTCCCTCGGAAAAAAAACAAAATGAACAAACAACCCCAAATCTATGGAACACAGTTAAAGCAGTACTGAGAGGAAAGTTCATAGCGATACAGGCATACCTGAAGATACAAGAAAAAGCTCTACTAAACTAACAAAACCACTGAAAGAAGTAGAATGAGAACAGCAAGAAAAGCCCCAGGGAAGTAGAAGGAAATAAATTTTAAAGATCAGAGCAGAAATTAATGACATAGAGACTAAAAAACAAAAAAAGCCCCCAAAATATCAGTGAAACCAAGAGCTGCTTCTTTGAAAAATAAATAAGATTGATGAACCTTTAGCCAGATTCACCAAGAAACAAAGAGAGAAGACCAAAATAAATGAAATCAGAAATGAAAGAAGCAATATAACAACTAACACAACAAATAAAAACAATTGGAAGAAAATAATATGAGCCAATATATGCCAACAAACTGGACAACCTGGGCGAAACGGACAAATTCCTAGAAGCATAGAATCTTCCAAAGCTGGATCAGGAAGAATCAGAAAACACTGATAGGCTGATAAAAATTAAGGAAATTGAAGCAGTAAACCAAATCCTCCCAGCAAAGAAAACTCAGGGATCAGGTGGATTAATAAGTGAATTTTACCATTCAAAGAAGAATTAACACCTATTTCCCTCAAATTATTCCAGAAAATTTAAGAGGAAGGAAAACTTCCAAACTCTTTTTATGAGGCCAGCATCATCCTAGTCTGAAAACCTGATGAAGACACTACAAAGAAAGAAAATTATAGGCCAATATCCCTAATGAACATGGTGCCTTTCACATCAAGTTGTCACCCTTATCTACTGCACTCTAAAATTATCAACAAAATTCTACCATCCAGCAATACATTAAAAAGACCATACACCACGACCAAGTGAGATTTATTCCAGGAATGTAAGGCTGGTATATTATACATAAATCAATAAATGTAGGAGGGATGGCAGGAGGGCCCATCGGCGGCAGATGGGCGTTCAACCTGGCTAGGTTGCTGGCCTCCTATCCCGCTGGGCGCTCCCCGGCTGGGCCCAGACCCAAGTTGCGGCCCCCTGGCTGCGAAGAAGGTCCCACTCAGCGGCCAGCAAAACCTGTGCGCCGGGTCCCCCGGGGCCTGCGGGCCCAGCCTTGCGGGTTTGAGCCTTCACAGCCTCAAATGGATGCTGAATGTCAAAAAGCAGAATGTCTGTTTGATGAACTTGAGGACAACAGGAACTTAGGGCAACCCAGGCTCTCTGGATGAGACCACCTACGGAAAACTGGCCGAGGAGACCCTGGACTCCTTGGCAGAGGTTTTTGAAGACCTTGCAGACAAACCTTACACATTGGAAGACTATGACGTCTCCTTTGGGAGTGGTGTTTTAACAATTAATCTGGGCAGAGATCTAGGAACCTATGTGATCAACAAACCGACCCCAAACAAACAAATCTGGCTATCTTCACCATCCAGTGGACCCAAGCGCTAGGACTGGACTGGGAAAAACTGGGTGTACTCCCACCACGGCGTGTTCCTCCATGAGCTGCTGGCCACAGAGATGACCAAAGCCTTAAAAACCAAACTGGACTTATCTTCTCTGGCCTATTCTGGAAAAGACACCTGATGCCCAGCCCAGTCCTAAAAACATTAGACTCTCGAAAGCCACGACCCCAGCTTCCTTCTGCAGCTGAATGTCTAATTTGTTCTCTTCCTGCTTTTGAGGACAGTTGTATTCTGGGTAACAGCTCTGGGAAAAGAATATTTCACCTCCCACCCTACCTCTGACTTTGGATGTTTAATTTCCTTAGTTTTTGGATTTATTGTCTGATTTCCTCCCAAAAAGATATGATAGCCCATATCTTTATAATACCTATATGCCCATACCTTCATATATAACCTTGCAACAAGGAAAAATAATGAGGAAAAATTCTGAGGAGAAATGAATGGGTTTCTCCATTCATTCTCTGAAGCACTTAGTGAAAACTGCATGAAGAGTGGCTGGCTTATCTCACCATTCTGTCTCAAAATGAGACTCACTGGAGAGTAGCCTAGAAATGTTCCCACGCCTCTTGAAAACATAAACACCTCTAAGCCTGTTGCTATTGAAATCTCAAAGGCAACTGGAGAATTCTCAAAGGAAGACCATTCTCTCTGTGCTTTGTGTGTGCCACGGTGTATTAGCCTGCAAGGGGTGACTCGGAGATACGGTGCTGTTTCTCCCATACGTATATGTGTATGTACATACACATTTAAATATGGGCTTGTGGGTGTATAATAAATGAGGAAAGGGGGCTGAGGAGGCTCTTTGAAAATTTTGAAGGGCCACACGAATAGAAGAGACCTTGTGTTAATGCAAATAACCCTGGTTTGCACTTGGCTCAGTCCAAAGTGTTGTCCATCTCTGGGCAAGTTTAACACACTCACTGGACCTCTCTTTTCCTGTGTGTTAAATGAGACAGTTGAACTAGATAGAGTATAGAGGATTCCCAATTCAGACACTCAGCATTCCTGTCGGGCAACTTAACAGGCCAGCTTTAATTACCTCTGGTAGACGAGGGATGACAGGAACAATTTTTTAAAGCTATAGAGTAAAATATATGGTTATTAGAATTACTCGAATGTCCATTGAATTCATGTCCAAATAATAACCATCCTTTATTGTGCCCTTACTATGCTAAACCTATGCTATAGACTGAATGTTTATGTTCCCCCAAAATTCATATGTTGAATCCTAACCCCAAAGGGATGGTATTAGAAGGTGGGGCCTTTGGGAGGTGATTAGGTCTTAAAGGGTCAGCGTTCAGGAGGAGGATTAGTCCCCTTATCACAGAAACCCCAGAGAGCTCCTTCACCCCTCCTACCATGTGAGGACACAGCTGTCTATGAACCAGGAAGTGGGTCCTCACCAGACAATGAGTCTGCTGGGACCTTGATCTCAGACTTCCCACCCTCCAGAACTGTGAGAAATAAGTTTCTGATGTTTGTAAACCATCCAGCCTATGGTATTCTTTTATAGCTGCCTGAATGGACAAAGATGGCCTGCAACACCATATGACCTCATTTTAATACCTTCAAGAACATTAAAACTCATCCAAAGTTACATCCATGATTTTCTTACAAAAGAAAGATTTATTAGATTTATTAACAATAAAACAATGTAAACAAATGTTCCATGGGTATTTAAAATATTTCTTTTTTCAAAAATAAAATTATTGTTTAGTCTGGTGGGAGAAAAAAAAAAGTTGTACATCACATAAACAAAACGGACAAAAATCATATGATCATATCAATATATGTGGAGAAAGCACTTGACAAAATCCAACATCACCCATTTTTGGTAAAAACCTCAGCAAAGTTAGAATAGAGGGAACATACCTCAACACAATAAAAGCCATATATGACAGATCTACAGCCAACATCATATTCAATGTTCAAAATTAAAATCTTTTCCCTTAAAAATAGGAACAAGACAGAGATGTCCACTTTCACCACTCTTATTCAACATAGTACCTGAAGTCCTTGCCATAGTCTTTAGCAGGAAGAAAATATAATAGGTATCCAAATTGGAAAGGAGGAAGTAAAACTGTCATTATTTGCAGATGACATGATATTGTACACAGAAAACCCTAAAAACTCCACAAAAGTCCTTCTGTATTTGATAAATGAATTCAGGAAGGTAGCTGGATCCAAAATTAACATCTGGAAATCAATGGCATTTTTATACACCAATAATATACTCTCAGAAAGAGAAACTAAAAAAAACAGTACCATTTACCATTGCATCTAAAAAAATAAGATATCTAGGAGTAAACTAACTAAGGATGTAAAAGATCTGTACTCAGAAAACTACAGGACACTGAAAAAAGAAATAGAGTAAGATAGAAACAAATGGAAGAATATACCATGTTCATGGATTGGAATATTTAATATCATTAAAATGTCCGTACTACCCAAAGCAATCTCTAGGTTCAATCCAATTCTTATTAAAATACCAACAGCATATTTTACAGAGCTAGAACAAATATTCCAAAATTTTATATGGAATCATAAAAAACCCCAAATAGCTGCAACCATTTGAGAATGAAAAACAGAGTTGGAGGGATCACTTTACCAGATGTCAAAGTATACTACAAATCCAGTATAATCAAAATAGCCTGGTGTTAGTACAATTGACATAGATCAATGGAACAGAACAGAGACCCCAACAATAGACCTATGCAGTTAATATTTGACAAAGCTGGTAAGAGTATACAGTGGAGTAAAGACAGTGTCTTCAATAAATGGTGCTGAGAAAATTGGACAGATACATGCAAAAAAATGAAACTAGATCACCAACTTCCTACATACACAATAAATTCAAAATGGATAAAAGACTTCAATGTAAGTTGCAAAACCATAATAATAGTGGGAGAAAACAAGCAGTAACATCAGAGATATTTCACATAGTGGAATTTTCACTGATACATCCTCTAGGGCAATAGAAACAAAAGAAAAAATAAACAAATAACACTACATCAAACTAAAAAGCTTCTGCACAGCAAAAGAACTCAGCTTCAAAAAAGAAAGGAACCCCATGGTATAGGAAAACATATTTGCCAAGGATATATCTGATAAGGGATTAATTTCCAAAGTGTACAAAGAACCCATACAACTCAACAAGAGAAAGACAAACAATCCAATTAACATTTCCTTTTCCATAGAATATTTTTTTCCATCCCTGCACTATTCGCCTGTGGGAATCTTTAGCTCGCTAGTGGGTCTCCTTCAGACAGCATATATTTGGGTCTGGTTTTCTTATCCATTCAGCTACCTTATGTCTTCTGATTGGAACATTTAATCCATTTACATTTAAGGTTATTATTGATATATACTTTTTTAATGCCATTTTTTCTCCTTTATGCAGATATACCTTTCTCTCAGTATGTCTTCTCCTTAAAGTAGTCCTTTTAGCATTTCTTGCTATGCTGGTTTAGTGGTACTGAACTCTTTTAGCCTTCTTCTCTGTGGGAAGCCCTTTATTTCACCTTCCATTTTAAATGATAACCTTGCTAGATAAATCAGTCTTGGTTGTAGGTTCTTATTATTTTGAGAACTTCATGCCACTCCCTTCTGACCTAAAGTGTTTCTGTACAGAATTCTGTTGTGAGGCTTATGGGGGCTCCCTTGTAGGTCATTGCTTGTCTCTCTCTTACATCCCTTAGTATTCTCTATTTGTCCTTAACACTTTAATTATGATGTGTTTTGGAGCAGGTCTCTTTGGGTTCACTTGTTTGGAACCCTCTGTGTTTCCTGAACTTTTGGCTTTCTCCCTCACCATTTTAGGGAACTTTTCTGTCATTTTTTCCTCCACCAAATTTTTTATCCCTTTCTCACTTTATTTCCCCTCTGGTACCCTTATGATATGAAAGTTGTTTCATTTCATATTGTCCCAAAGTTCCCTTAAATTGTCCTCATGCTTTTTAAGTGTTTTTTCTTTTTGCTGCCATGACTGAGTTGTTTTCCCATTTTATCTTCCAATTCACTTATTCTATACTTTGCTTCATTGAGCCTTCTTTTAATTCCTTCTAGCATATTGTTGATATCAGATATAGTATTCTTCATTTCTGCCTGGTTCTTATTTATCATATCTAGCTCTTTTTTCATTCCTTCACTGAGTTCTTGGACCTTCCCATTTGGTTTCTTGTGATTCTAATTAATTTTCTTGGTCACCTTTGTAATCATTACCCTGAACTTTATTTCTAATATCTTGATCACTTCCATGTCATCAACGTCTTTTTCTGGCAATTTTCCTTTTTCTTTAGTTTTGGGGCTTCCTTTTTCATCCCATTTTAGCTGTTTTTTTTTTTCCTTTTGTTCCTATGTGTAAACTAGAACTACTATGACATCCAGTCTTTATAGGGTGGCCTTATATAGTAAGTGTCCTATGGGACTTGGTGGTAAATGTTCCTTGTACTCCTGAGCTGAATTCTGTAGTAATGTTCCTTGTTTTGATTATGTGGACCCTCCTGTTGTGATTGATAGCTGATTGTTGTGGCCCATTCGTGGATGGGATCAACTTTCACCCCAAATAATTGAGCTCAGCAAGATGGAGCCAACTGGTGATGGGTGTGCAAATCCAATCCTCCCTTCGAATGGAGTGACACAGGATCTCAGACCTCCAGAGAGGACCTAGCTGTTTGCCTTTTAGCTTAGTGGTGCCCTGTTAGAAACCCGGAGGGGATGTTCCAAGGAGGTTGCATCAAATGCCCTGGTCCTGGGATATGACCCTTTTCCCCTGTGTGGCTTCCCCAGCAGGGGATGCATAGGCAGAGCTTGGAGGAAGTGAACAAGTCTGACTCTCTCCACTTGGGGTGTCACCTTCCCTTGGGAAGAGAGAGAGAGAGCTGCTCACTTCCTTCTGTCTCTGCAGTACTCTGCCAGAGTCCTTGTTGAAGTGCTCTGAGTGAGTCAGGTCTGATGTCTAAGCTCTGCTTTGCACCCCCTTTTCTTAGTGGATATGAGATTAGTTGGCATTGCCAGCAGAATCTGGGTGCTAGTCTCATCCACCCTTTGATTGAGGTGGCAAGGATTCTTAGCCCTCAAGAAGGGAGGTAGGTACTCTCATTTTAGGTCCATGCCAGAGCT